TCAGATGTTTAAAAGTTAATACCGTAAGTTTGTATTAAAAAATCTCGAAATTATTGCTTACCAAAAAGCGAAAACAAAAGCATTATTATTATTTATTTATACCAAGGGAACGTTTAATTTCTTTGAGATCGAGAAAATATTTAAAAAAACTGTTTATGCTATATCCTGAAATCAATTTTTTGTTTTCATAAATCAGATGAAAAATAAGTCACATTTCAAACCTATCCATTTTCAAAACAGCTATCCACGTATAATAATAAAAATCTTTTTTTTTCGCCCTTGAAATTAAGATATTCAGTTACCAAATTTTATCTCGCTGAAAAACATACTTGTATACATTTTTAAGTATATTTTTAAGTTGTTCATTCGAAAAACGAAATCTTTCCAGAAAATAACATCCAATTTAAAAACTAAGTAAATTTCAGCATTAAATATGCCTGAAAAGTTAAAATTTTGAAATCTCCTTAATATTTCACTGGAGTTTATTTAAAGAGCAAGTTTAAAAGTCACATCAAGTTAAACTGATTAAATTTGGCAGAAATAATAAAAGAGACTTTTTTAGAATAATTATACAAATATTATGCTAAATATCTATCTATAAATATAAAACTAATAAATATCTATAAATAAAAGAAATTATTTTAAAAAATTATTATCTGCATGTAAATGAAGAATTAATTTATGACAAAAACAGAGAAAATCAGAAATAATATCAAAATCAATTGAACTATAAATATTGCTTTTCAAATGTTTCAGGAATCTCACAGAAAGAATGAATATTGCACCAGATATTTTAATATGGATTTTGATAATAGCAGTTTAACCTATCTGCATTGAAATTCATATGATATACAATGACCCAGAGATTTAGGTAATTTAGCTTAAACATGAATAATAATTAAAAAAAGAGCCGGTAAATTTTAAAACCAACTTGTTTCAAAAGAAGAGTCTTTTAGGAAAGAAAACTTTTAAGATAGTATTCGCACGTGTAAACTCTGCAGCGTTCAGACGGTCATCACGGAGAAACTAGTCTTTTGCGACTTTCTTGACAACTCACATCTAGGGGTACTAATATTTATGGTAGTAATCCATGTCACTTACAGTCCGAACCCTTGATCAAGTATTCTTGGAGGGAAAAGGACTAACAATAGCACCAGCTGGCATTTTTCAGAGGTTTAGGGTTATTTTCCCGATATTTTAAGAAAAGCTTACTCCAGAATTAGTAACATTTTTAAAGGTATTTGTAGAAAATCACTCGACAGGCTAAGGGTTAAAAAGATTAACATACCACCATTCGGTCTTCTTTCAAACTTGCCTACATGGTTAGACGGTTTGTGTTTCCTCTGCAAGATTTCTTCTTGATTACACAATAAGGCCAGCTTGTAAACATTGTTTAATTTATTTCTGTAAGAGTTGCTGATTTGCATAGGAAGGGGATCATTCTCTTCTTCTTCTGCAGTTATCGGGTGATAGAAATCCAGAGGCTTCTGAATCGACATATATCTGTACAAAATTTACATGCAAATTAATCAAGATATAAAATTTAGTGTAGGAACCTATTACTAATGAACCACTTTTACCTGACACACTAACAGAAACATTTAACCACCAATGGCATGCATGTCTTACAAATTGAATTCAAAAGCAAACACAGAATAAATGAGCTAAGCTCCTAGTACAGAGGAGTGCGCATAAATTGCTTTTTTGTGTTAAGAAAGCAAATTAATAGAGGACACTTTAATTTTTAATAATTCAAAGTTGTTGGAGATTAGATAATCTTCATCTTACTGACTAAAAAATAAATAAATGTGAGTACTCGCATTAATGAGATAGATGAGTTTCACGATTATTGCATAGCTGTTCTATATTTCAATGCATTCTGGTAAGAAGCCCCATAGTCATAGTGCTTCCGTCTTTTGTGTCTAAGACTAAAATTAGAACTCCATAGGTAGGGTAACCGTAATAAAATTTCATAAAATGTCATTTTTGGGAGAAAATGGGATACAGATTGCTATGTGTAATTTCCATACTCTCAGATATTCAGGTATAGCATGGTATATACAGCTAATTTGAGTTTTAATTTTTGCCGTCTCCGACAATCTAGGATGACCAGTTGTAGTCCGCAAAACATATTATAAAAGAAAAGAAAAGGAAATTAAGGTATAGCCTTCGTTCATTTATTACATTCTTTTTTTTTTTTTTCGATTATCGATGTTATAGAAGTCCGCAGGCCTCTTCCTCCCCCCCCAAATGGAAATAAAAAGTATGCTTTTACCTTGATACAGGTATAGTATAAGTAAGCATATTTGTATTGGCACAATATTGTAATCCAATATTTCTAAACCAAGGGAGGAATTTTTATAGTTTCAGAGGGGGGGAATGCTGTCAGTCTTTTATTTAATTGTTAAGTATATAGTTTCAGTTTATAGATATTAAGAACTACTTTTATTCAAGTTTTAATATTTATCAACTTTTGTTGCTTAATTTATAGAACACATTATAAAATAACCTAAATCTAAATAAATGTGCATAAAATTTCAAGTTTTAGAAAAAAAAAGAGTATGATCTAGCAATGATGAAAGGATTGCACGAGGCAAAAAAAAGGTTGAGAAAGCCTGCTGATTGATAATCTACTTGTAAACTCTTAAGTTAAATAATTAAATATTTGTCTTCCCCCAAATGGAAAATTTTTGCGGACGCTCGAGCTCGGGAATAATTAAAAAAATTCTAATTTCTTGTGCTTATAAAGTACCATCGTTATATGACGACCAACATTGTCAAAAGTCTTTCGGCTAATATTTCTATCAACTGGTTGAAACTTTTAACATTGATCTCTGAGTGCTTTTGGATGATAATTCCCAAAAGGGTTTGCTTGCCACCTGCCATTCCAAGAATTCAGGGAAGCCTCGGTTTTACTGTCAGCATTAACACATTACCGACCGGTAGCGTTCTAATTGGCTTTTTTTAGGCAACGCCTGCCGACTGATAGATTATTAATCGGCCTTTTTTTTTGCCAACGCCTATCGACCGATAGCCTATTAATCGCTTTTGTCTCGGGGCTACCTAAATATAACTTATCAATCGGTAGCCATGGTGATAAACAATTGCCATCTGCAGTGTCATCAAGGGGAAGATCCGAAAAAAATGGCAGCAAATTTGGGACGTTCAGCTTCACAACAAGTTGAGAAATGTAAAACTTAGAATCGAGTATTGGGATTTTGTTGGAAATTGAAAGGAGGAAATTCTTTTGACTCTCCTCAGAGTTGGTCACACTAGAGTGACCTTTTGAAAGCTGAGAATGAGCCTGATTGTAAAAATTGTAATGTTTGCTTATCTGTCCGTCATATTTTAATTGAGTGTCCATGTTTTAATAGTCCTCGTCAGAAATATTTTCATAGCTGTGACTATATTAACAATGTGTTCATGTACACTTATTGCTCTTTTTTTTCAGATGCTAAATTTAAGAGGCGACAGGTGCACCTCATAATATGCAGATCTAAATTTTCCTTTTTTATAATGCCTGCAACACCAGTCTTAAGCCTACAGTGGTGTATTATGGGCACCAACCGCTAAGCAATTATCTGGAGGAATTTCATTTTCTATTAGAGTTTCAATAATTAGCTGTGCTATATTAAAACCTGTTGAACGTCCAAAGAGGGCACAGAAAGTAAACTACACTCAATTTCTAAAGACTATGCATTAAATAAGAAGCGTCAATTGGATACAGTTTTGTCCTAAAAAGAGCACACAAAGTAAACTACACTCAGTTTTTAAAGACAGTGGATTAAAAAAAGAAACAATAATTGGATACATTTTTGAATCGGCATTATTGCTTCCATACGTATTGAGGTAGAATGGAACTGTTTTAATGCAATCAGTAACTGAAGATTTGTTTTTCATACCCATTTGTTTAACAATTGCCGAATTTCGTTCCTTGCACAGAATTACACCAACTTTAGAAGTGACAACAAGAAGTGTTTGCGAAAGAAATATTTTTGAAGAAACAAAAAATGATCCTTGTTCTTTGATGGGCGAAATTTATGCAAAATGGTTTAAGATGTAATGAGTCTTATACAACAGTGGCAAGCTACAACACAAACGCGAATAAATTAAAATAAAGCTGTTACTTATATTGCGATAAAATATTTGCTCTGCAACTGAAAGGACTTATTTTCTTTAATGCACAAACATAATTTTAAAAGTAGTACAATAAATATAACCTGAATGTAACTTATTGCCACTTTCGAAAAGACACAATTACTCTCTTTAACATTAACAACATTTACTTTGAACATTGTGAAAAACACGTTTTAAAAAAATAACATACCATGATTCGGTCTTCCTTCAACTTACCTACATGGTTACACAGTTTATGTTTCCTCTGCAAGATTTCCCTTTGATTATGCAATAAGGCCAGCTTGTAAACATTTTTTAATGTATTTTATTCTCTTCTTCTTCTGCAGTTATCGGGTGATAGAAATCCAGAAGCTTCTGAATCGACATATATCTGTACAAAATTTACATGCAAATTAATCAAGATATAAATTTAGAGTAGGAACCTATTACTAATGAACCACTTTTATCTGACCCATTAACAGAAACATTTAACCACCAATGGCATGCATGTCTTACAAATTGAATTCAAAAGCAAACACAGCAGCATAAAAGAGCTAAGCTCCTAGTACAGAGGAGGGCGCATAAATTGCTTTTTTGTGTTAAGAAAGCAAATTTAATAGAGGACACTTTAATTTTTAATAATTCAAAGTTGTTGGAGATTAGATAACCTTCATCATACTGACTAAAAATTAAATAAATGTGAGTACTCGCATTAATGAGATAGATGAGCTTGACGATTCCTGCATAGCTGTTTTATATTTCAAAGCATTTTGGTAAGAAGCACCATAGTTATAGTGCTTCCTTTTTTTGTGTCTAAGACTAGAATGAGAAGTCCAAAGGTAAGGTAACCGTAATAAAATTTTATAAAATGCCATTTTTGGCAGAAAATGGGATACAGATTGCTATATGTAATTTCGATACTCTTAGATATTTACGTATAGCATGGTATATACTGGTCATGGTCAAATTTTATTTCATTTTTATGTATGTATTAATGTATATTTTATACGTGCGAAAGTGCGCTTGTTTAGCATATCCATATACATTAAATAAATCTGGTTTGAAATTACATGTGAGATTTTCGTAACTTTTTCAAGTTACGAATTACTCGCAATATAATCTCTGAGAAAATATATATATTATAAAAATAAAATTTTATATCCCTGCTTGGTTCTGTGAAAAACAATTTAAAAATTAGCTTATTACTTTTTTTAATATCGAAAGCAACTTAATTTTTTTAAATCTTGCTGTCGGACCCGAAGTATTTAGAAGTACAAAATTGGTCTTTTGAACACATGTTTCTTTGGTAATTCCTTATGGACGTAGATAAATAGCTAAGAGACCAACCCTTGAAGGAGACATTGACCGATTTCACCACCAAAAGGCCTTTTTTCTAGCATAGGGGACGGCCACTTTTATCTTTGGCTTCTGCTTTGTGACGTAGCATAACTAAATCCGTTGGCCCTGTTTGCCCGAATAGCTTCTGAGAACAGTTCGCAAAGACTTTGTGTTCCCAAAGCAATCAGTCAGACACCAATAAAATTTGTTGTCGATATTTCTACTCCCTCTTTCTTTCTGTGAGTTTTTCAAATCCAGGAAAGGGTAATGGAGTATGTGAGAAAGCACAGCATTTGGTGCATGTGAGAAAAACATTTCTATGCTGTTTTCTGTATTACTTTTATAGTGGAGCATTTAAAAGAACAGCTTTGTATGCAAAGTAGAATGAACTCATTGAAAAACATGTTTCTTCTTCTGTACATCCCCCCAAAAAGGCCATGATGCTCTTTTAAGTGAATTAAATTTTTTTTGTGCTCTTATTACATTTTTCTAAATTTTTCGGTTCGTAAATATTTCTGTTCTTCTTTTCTTATAACACACAAGCAATTTTTTAAATATGAGTGAACCTTGAGCGTTAAGTTCGGTAAGGTCGCAAAAGACTGGTAATTTGAAGGACATCAGATATAGACAAATGGGTTAACTGCAGGGGAGGTTTCGTGGTTTTTCCTCATGTGAATGTAATACGAATTCTTTTGCCTTTAAACGTCCTTTACGAGACGCGACTCTGTTAGTCATATAATCCTCAAGTGCTGTGAACAATTCTAATTAAAATTTTTATGATATAAAATTTCATATAAATTTATTCTAGCGTCCGCTTTTGTGTACATTATATTTATGAATATAAACCTGGGATTAAAATTAAGAATACTATTGATGAAATTAATGTTTTGATTAATACTGAAAATAATGTTTATGGTAAAATTCAATTTGAATCCTTTTTTATAATAAGGTAACATGCGCCAAAGATTTTGGTTTATGGTAAAGCACACAGGGGTTACTTACCTAAAAGAAGAGATTTTTTGAGGGAAACAGGCTGGTAATTCACAATACACTTGTGAAAAACCTCGAAACCTCTCATGCAGCCGCTTGGATTTAACATGCTCAACTATCTTACCTCTCGACCGTTACTGGGCTTTCTCAGCTTACGAAATATTTATTTTAAGTTGGTTATTTACATAACAGAAGGACAAAATAAAATGACAGATTATAAATAGTGCATTTTACTGACAAAACGTTCTTCCCCCCCCAAAAAAAAAATACTTTAAAGAATAAGAAGGATGCAGTTAACTTAACGGCGGCCGATAATCAGTGCTGGTGCATGTTTTTTCAGAGAAAATCATTTGGCTCGTGTTGTGGCCAAACGAAAAACATTCATAGATTATTTTTTACAGTTGTTAAAATAGTCATGCATTATCTGTTTTAAAAGAATATCTTCTTAGAAAATTTTCAAAATGAAATTGGCTTGAATTCACATTACGTATGGGGAAAATTATAAAGACACCAAGCCGCTAACCTGTTCGGTTGCAAGTGGCAAATCCAGGACAAACATCACACATCCAGCATTCTTATTTACTCAACTGCAGTGAACTTAAATATTTGTTTGTATATTTTTAGTATTAAAACAATAAAAATATTTACTCTAATAAAAACTTGTTGTTGAAGACATTTTCTTTGGTTAGAGATTTCATGTGAATAATTAAATCTGCGTTGAAGCCAGACAATATCTCAGAACTTAATGCTTCAAAAAATTTAATGCTGGGATTCCTAGGAAAGAAATTATCCTAAAAAAATACATTCCACAAAAAATTTTAAATTAGTACTCTTATAATGATTTCTTAAATAATTAATAATTTTTATGGGAAAAAAAGACACTTTGACTGCACAGATTTTCTTAAATATCATTTTTTCAATCAGTGAATGTTAAAATCAGCTCTGTCGCAATACAATAAACAGTGATACAATTTTACACGGCCAGCATTCCTCGTTTAATGACAAGAAATTTTTTTTTAAATTTACTCTCCTTTT